GAGCAAAAGGAAGAAAGAGAGTGAAAGTAAATGTCAAGGAACCTCGATTGACGTTCATGTCGGTCGATACAAAGCCATGTCGTTCACATGCCCTTTTCTAATTATATTTTATCTTTCTATAGTAAATAATACACTCACAACGTTAATCGCAATATTCTGAATGAACCCGATTAATATTCTTTTGGACAAGAAGTGCAGTCAAGAAAAAAATTTATTCTTTAAGAATTGTTAGAAGGATGAAGTTGTAAAAGCTTCATTACAATTCTTAAATAAATACATAAATAAAGTTTGAATTTTTCTCAAAAGTAATATATTATCTTAATATCTTTTTATTACAATTTTCGAAACAAATGACCAAATTTCGATATTACGAGTTAAAAATTGGCTATTAAAGTTTATGTCTTGTGTTTTTATGATAACTGATGAATTTTGTATATTTTTTTCGATAAAAATGTGCCTCTATGTATGCTAGTTGTATGCCCAAAAGATAAGGTCAATTGCTTGAATATTCGAATACCTAGACCTATGACAATATCTCCTTGTTCATCATAGTGCCATTTGTCTCTAGTAAGTGATATATGCCTGAAAATTTCCGAGAACAATGAGAAGTTATAGGGAAGCATTTTCTATAAGTTTCAAGTCGATCGGTCGAACTTTCACGATATTATGATCTACCCAATGAAAGGGAATGATTTTTCCGTAAATCGATGCTTAGAGTAAAATGATTCTAGCTTCACAAAGCCTCAATGGAATTCAATGAAATTTTTATGATAGATAGCCAGAGTATAGAGCTACAGAATGAGGGAATTCGCAGTTCATAAAGCCTTTTTATTTCTGAGTTATAAAGTTCACAATGGAGACATACCGTATACATTATAACTTTCTTATAGTTCGTGCAATCGGGATGAGGGTAGTGCCGCTGATCAGCATTCATTGAGAACTATGTGCGCACTAGTTTTCAGATCTGCAGGTCATACTGTGACTGAGATCGAAGGCGGCGGGGGGGGATACTTTTGTCGGGTACTGTAGCTATCTTTTGTTATATGATCAAAACATATTGATTAACAGGCTTCTATGTTTTCAGAGATTTTGCCCTTTGAATTTATTATATTTTTTTGTAAGTCGTATTAAAATAGCATCACTCACCAGTTATTCGCCTACGCTGTCTCAAAAGAAAATTCTTCACGAAATTTACAGTAACCGAAACCAAAGAATAAAGCTAATAACAAACATGCAAAAAAATGAAATTATCCACGATAAAAAGAGAAACTATCACAGCGGATCGAAATATACCATTGGGTAAGAGAATATGATTTTGCATCTCAAAATATTAGTTCGATAGACAACCGAAGTCTGATAGTGAATACAGCCAAGCCACACACGAAATCTGTTCATGAATCTAGCATTGGAAGTACAAACACTAATTTATTTCTGCTGACTCTAACTAAAGAGAGTATCACTTGATAGAGCATAAAGTTTTGCACTAAACCACCTGCATTGAAGCTCAACATAACTCTATCAGCCGGCCAGGACTAGGTTAACTACCGAGAACCCGTGTATACCTCAGCATCTGGAACGAAATCCCAACTTTTTGCCCAATGGCTCCAACTACAAAGCATAACAATTGAAAGAGCATGAAACCTTGCATGTAACACAAGTGGTTAGAAAAACCAACACAAGTCGTATAGTTCATCCGACCTGAAGATACTGCTTTGGCTTCATCGGCACATAAGGAAAAATGCAGTATTTCAGTGGAACATTAGGTTTTCTCACAATGGTCTACTTTCAAAATAGTATTATCCGATAGAGAAGAATTGAATTTTGAATCTAAAACAATCGTTCAGAAAGTTAACACAAGCTCAGGAGCGAATTCGGACTCGACGTACTCTCGAAAATCTGTATTTTAGCCTCTATTTGGGTTGAAACCCCCACTTTTGCCCGATGACCCCTATCAAAAATAGCACCAGTCAATAGAGAATAAAATTCTACACCTAACACAAGTGGTTAAAAAATCAACACAAGTTCAGGAGCGAATCTGGAGTGGAAATACTCGAATCCGGAGCTAACTTTACTTACGTACTATTTTGTTTATTTCACTGCAGACGTCTATGGTTGCTGCTTGTTTAGTAATTCGAACAACAATTGCAAGTCCTAATCCTGTTTTTAGACTAATGTAAGAACGTACACTAGCTACTGTATCTACACCAGCTCCAGCTTCTGGATCAGCAGCAGTGCTTCAGCATCTGAAGTAAATTATTGAGATATTGAAAAAAGACAATCACATATATTTTTATTGATTTAGGTTTTTTATAATCAAGCAGAAAATGTACGACAAATTGATGTTTCTACAATAAGTGGTAATTGGGGTATTTTTGGTATGTAAAATTAAAAATGAAAAGATAGTTGAATTCTATTTGTAAATCTTTTTTAGTTTATCACGCACCTATTCTTAATGTACTTAAACCAGGTGTTGTGTCTGTGTTTGAATCAGAGGGAAATATGAAAACGATTTTTTGGTAAATGAAGTTGTTTTTTCTCAGATCATATAGATCTACACGAAACTCAAAAGTTAATTAATTCAAATGGCATGCATTTTTATCGATTCCTTGACACTGAAATGTCGGGCAATATTTTTTAATAGAATTTTTATTTGTTTTTTTTTACTGCACAGTGGCTCAGTTGGTATTCATCCAGATTGAACTGTTCACTTATTAGCTGAAGAAGTAACACCTGTTGAAAATCTTGATTGTAAAGTAAAACAAAACCTTCTTACACATCAATGAAATTATTATCTGCTTTTTTTTTATTATTTTAGGCTGCCCGAGATGTTCTATCTGAAGCTTAAATTGAAATTGATTGTGGTTATGCTGCTATTAAAGCAGCCTCTGATGTTTCTCAATAAGTTTTATAGAGAAAAAAAAACACGAACAGTGCGTAGGTTATAAAGATTGCTTAGTTATTTTTCCATTTCTTTTTTTGCTATTTAATACAAAGCATTATATTCAACTGAAATAGATAACTCATGCAGTATTGGTGTCGAAATAAGAATCTGTTTCGCTCGTTGTGCAGCAAAGCATTCAAAGACAAGTTGATCGATTGTTTGTCCACTTACGCTTTTGTTTGATGACTTTGTTCGAGTTGCAGGCATAATCAAAGTAGAATTTTTCTCGACGATGAAGAATGTTAGTGACATTACTTTTTGACACATTGTATTTGTCGGCTAGTTTACGCACTAACAAACCATGATCGTTTTGATTATCTTTGATAAGTGCAATTTTTTGATCCAGATTCAACGCTCATCGATTCGACATGATGCTGTCTCGCCTATTTTACATAGTGGGCGTGTTCTTTTATTATCACTCAAACATTTTTCTCTGTCATTCGATCGTCTAATTGATAAAGAAGAATCATTGTGCTGTAAGTAATTAGAGTTATCGCTGCATTTTCTTTAAAATAATAAGTAGTGTCTACTATAACGAGGTGTTCACCATCAGAAATTATACTGTATTGCTAATAAGTATCAAGATTTATTTTATTTCAAATTCATCAAGTTCTGTAGAATCATTATATAAACTAAGAGAAATATAAGAACTATTTTGGATTTGTTTGAAATGTTCACTCTAATTTAATTTTGTTTTTAATTTAGAAAAAAAAAATTAAATAAATACTATAAATGAATGAAACTAAGGAAGATGTGGATGTGGATGTGGATGTGGGTGTGGGGTGTGGGTCATGAAGACAAGACTGTGACACACACGCTACACCCATATCTGAATATCTTATTAGCCTAGTATATTTCATCAAAGATTGCATATTCAAAATTATTGCGATCCAAATTATTTTTTGAAACACAATGTAAAACGAATGTTGAAGTATGAAGGTAAAAATATGGGCCCCGCTCTCCATCCACAGACGTGCAAGACGCCTTCAGGGTTATTCGTATCTTGGGGAGACAGATCCGAAAGACAGAAACCTAACGTGAGCCGGCCCCTTCTTCAACAGACGACTTGCTATCAAGCTGTCCCTCCTGCGAGAAATGTTCCAATCCTATTCACTTAGCTTTCTGCCAGAAAAAGGCAAATAATATTTCAAAACCTGGTTTTTATGCAAAGTTACCAGGAAGAAGTAAAAAAATTGGCAGAAATCATCAAAAATTTAGGCAAAAAGTTGATCATTCTGTGTGAGAGGCGGAGATCGAAAGAAAGCCTACTCATTCCCCTAATCAAGAGCTCTGGACACCTTACCAGTGCTGCTCTCCACGTCACAGACTATGGGAGACGTTGCTGATATACGATTACCGACCATATATGAATAACGTCTTGTTATAATATATGGACTACTATTTTTCTTCCATTTCTGGAGGAGTAAGTTAAAGCATAGTATATAAATGTGTTTGAAAGTCTATAGAATAAAGCAATCTTTCTGTAACTAACAGTATTAGTTACATCATGTTTCACAAAATTTTAACACATCGGAATTGTGCTAACAACTTTCCTCAACAATGAAAGATTACCATTTAGTTCGGTCACATTCGTGATCTATTGTTGAACATGAAATGCAACAATTGACAAATCGAAAGAGCTCTATGCAACTTGACTCTTGAAGCTTAAATTAATTCTTTTCAAGCTTAATAAAATCTTCGAAATCCTGCGACGCATTATAAAACCTTCGGAGAAGGTTATATTTTTGTTTTGAGTCTATCTGAAAATCTGTTGTAGAGATACCATTTAATCATTTATGTAAATTCAATTGATGTTTTTTTTTGAATGCAATTATGACACTTTTATTAATTAAATTTATTTTCAAAGTGCGCATGCATAAATTAATAATGAGCCAAGTTAGCTTTAATTGCATGCATATCATGTATTACTTCATCTTTTCTTCTTGATTAGCATTTAATCTACTTCGAAAATTTGTATTTTGAAATTTCTTTCGTGTAATAAGGTTGAGACTTTGTTTTTTAGCTACATGTAAATCAAAATTATTTCCACTTGGTACAGCTATAAACTTGTTTGATTATTATTTAATTCATTATCATTATTAGCATTACGTTTATCAATCGATCGTTTGAGCAATGTTTGTTTGCAATTACATGTAGCTGGTTCAAGATATTCACCGTTATTATAATCACAAATTATATTCCCACAATTGCATAAATTTCCACTTTTTTCTAATGGACAATCAATAGCAGGAATATCACCTAAATAGGAACAATTCATTTTAATTTATAAATAAAATATCTAAATTAAACTTTACTTGGTACATATGGAATAAAATAATTATTTTCGTATTGTGAAAACTCATAGTTACATGTTAAATAACGTTCAATACGATGAGGATAAAGACAATGTGTATGAGCACAACCAACAAGTGTCATATTGCTTAACATCGCTTGTGTATAATGTAGACATGAAGCTGGTTTTGGATAACACCCATAACCATATATGAAATTGGGTTGTTCACTACTAAGCATCATGCCCGATAAACTAGCTAAAGAATTACGAATTTCGTGTGACATAATCATACTTTGTCCATTGTACCAACCAAATAATGGACTTAAACGATTATTGGCTAGATCCTGCTCAAAAGCACACAAATTTGAATGAACTTAAGCGAGTTCAGCTAATTCATCATCCCAATAGAGTTTGAACATGTATCTAGAGTGAACATTTGTACGATATTGATTAATTTTGCCAAGAATTTCTTGTTTTTCAGCATCATTTATCGGAATTGGAATAGCATGATCACTTGATCCGACGCTACGTAAAAACATTTCCAACTTAAATAAGAAAATTTGTAATCGTTCATCTAATATTCCATAGAACTCTTGTCTTGAAAATTAAAGAATCTATTTATTTGTTAATGAGAAGTAAACATTTTCGGTTATAAGGAGCAGTCATTGGACGAGTACAAGTACAGCAAGTATAAGTAAAATACTAGATAATTAAAAAATGTACTTTGTACTTTACTTAGATACTTTTTACTTAAGTAAATTTTACTCAGTAGCTGTACCA